TAGCAATTTCTGCTAGTCTCCTCAATAGTTGATCTTTTAGTAAGGTAACTTTTAGCATTTACCTACATTAAATGTTATTTTTGGTATGAAAAGGGAAGTTTTTCGCAACAATTCCAAAGTTTTGATTAGATATAAAGCTATACAAGATTTGTCTGCTTCAATATGATCTTTTCCAATGTTTTCTACTACCATACTGATAAACTTATATTTAGTTAGGCAGAGAGTTTTGCTATAACATAAACGCTATCGTCTAATTCTCGCATTAATCATTTCTAGAAAATGGTTTGATTCTGTAATAAATTGGATGGCTGCTCAAGTTAATTAAATGCTATTTTAGATATGATTTTTTGAAGGAAGCACTGTATTTACTTTTGTGTAAAAATGGATAAAGTAAGATCACTGTAATACATTAGTCATAAAATTCTGCAGCTGTTCCATGTAATTAGAATGAAATAATTATCCTAGTTCATATTTAGATATTTCTTGACTTAGTAATAGCTTCTATGCTGATATTTTAAGATTGGTAATGCAAGAAATTACATGACTGCTTAAAACAAATAGAACTGACAATAGATCTCGTCCACGTTGCGGTAATATTTTGATATTTCTTGAATAAGCTGATATCTATCTTGACTTGTAGAGATCATAATCAAAATTACCTGACTGGTTAGAATCCACATTGATAAATAGTTGACCTTAGTTTAAAACAACTAAATATTTGTTGAACACGCAACAGCCTCTAGTTTTTTAAAAGCTTATTCAAACAAATTGCATTACTGCTAATAGGAATTAGAGTAGATGATTATTTCTGAAATCGGCTCGACTGGTTAAGGAACTTATGATTGCAAAAAATAATCTAAACACATGATTTCCCTTAGTTTTAATTTAGAGGTATTAAAATATTTCTTGACTCAGCTATACTATCTACTCTGAAATTGAAGATTAATTAATCGAGAAAATTATATGACTACATACAAAAATTAGAATAATGTTTTATCATGGTCTTGATTACCTCAATCAACAAGCTAAATAAAGACTTAAAGTAATTTGTATAAATGATTGGTTTTTGATCTCGATTCAGATATGTAAATGATTCTAGCCTTTGCAATTTTATTTGTGTTGATTTAAATTTAGGCTTATACGTAATCATGTTACTTCTTTGATAAATTGCTAAATGGCAATATTTAAGCGATGATAGTGGAATAATAGATACTGTATACCTATGTAGTTAGTCGAGATTTTTTGCTATATTTCTTAATTTGCTGTTCTTCTAGTAAAATGCTATTATTGCTATTTTGCACTTAGATATATGCAGATACATGACCACAACTATTTTTTCCTCTAGGATATTATTTCAATACAATAGATATAGCTAAAATTCTGTTTAAAAAAAGCTAATAGTTTGCGATTATATAAAGAGATAGTTTTATCGGCTAGTTTACATAACTTTCGGAAATATCTGAAATAATTTTTTTAATATCTGACAATGAAAATATAACTCAAAGAAAATACGAATACGTAATTTTTAGAAATGATATGTATAAATTATAAACTTATATGAATAGTTAGAGAAAGAATTTCTGATTATCTATTACTCCTATAAAAGTACTGCATATAAGTAGACACTTCGTAGAAGCGTACAAGAAAAGATGGAGTAAATTAATCCTTAATTAGGTACATAATTAACAGTAAATGCTAGTGGTCCATAAATACACCTGGAATAACAATTACTATATTTAAGCTCTGTAAGGAAATAATTAATTCTTAAACTTTAAACGTATAAAAAACAACAGATAGCGTAAATGAGAGAATAAAATAGGTCGAATTGTTATTTACAAACTGTCGATAATTTATACCTCAGTGGTATAAATTATAAATAAAATTGCATCAATTCTGACGCTAGTATATAAGGAAAGAATTTCTACTTAATCACTCATGCAATTTTTTGGAAAAATTATCAATTATAGAAAGAAAGAAATTATATATAATTAATTATTAGTAGAAATAATATCTGAAATAGGATTTATTTTGTAGATAGATGTTCAAGGAAAGGGTTTCTACTTCTATCTTCGGTCTTGCAATCGGGTTAGATTCATCATAATCATAATTAGCGATATATTAGTTCGATTGGTTAGAAATGCTTTACTAATTTGGATTATATCGGCAACGATTACAACTTACAGGTAAAGCCAGACAATTTTCCCGTGCAGTCCGACAATCTTAAGCAATTGCTAGAACAAATGATAATGTAAATATGTAACGAGCATGAAGCCCAAATTGCTATCAGGAATACCTATCAGACACATCTTGAAATCATTCCCTACTTCTTACATTGAAAGTGTGACATTGGCTAAAATAACCGGCATATTTGGAAATATGCAAGCTCAATTTTGTGTTATTGGAATTATTGTTGGGTTATTATATTCAATCAGGTAAGGCATAAAATTTTGTTTTACCTCAGGAACTATAGGATCATTTTAAATAATTTAAATTGTTACGATGGATCTCAAATCAATTTGATTAATATTACGATGGTGTCGAATATTTGTATAGACGATAGGCTAATAAATTGCTGTAATAATGTTGTAGAATAGTTTAGCTAAGCAATTGTCAGCTATTTTAATTGTATCTTATGTCAACAAATTAATAATGATACTCTACATCCATTAGTAGCTATACGACCTTGAAAGAATTGTATTGTCTTGACAACGCTAATGTAAATTTACGAATAAGAGCAAAGGTGGCACTACTTTTGTAACATTGATTGTCAACTCAGAGCAGCTGGATATTGGGTGAATAGTCAAATATTACAATAATTGGTTTGAAAGAGTAGCATAGCCTTTATAGGTCGTTTTCTTGGTCTATCCTGAAAGATAGAATGAAATTGATTTAGCCATTAAAAATTATATCTAATCACGTTAAGAAGTATAGCTAGAGAATGGATAAGGGAAATTGGCGTAAGAAATTTCTGCGACTAGAGAAAAATAATTTTGGTCCTTACTTTACCTTTGGACACTTCTTGATCATCGTCTTGAATATAGTGGCAAATACTATTAGCCTAGTTTCATCTACCCAAGTTTTGAATAGCTTGCATCATCTCTATGGACGTTACAATCGTAGTAACTTGGTTTTGGACTGTACAAATATAAATCATTCCTGTTGTGGTAATTATAGTCTATCTACATTATACAACGAGTATAGAGTTACCTACACCTTGTTCTACGTGATTTTTATCCTTGTCACTATTATCGATGTTGGTTTGTTGGCCCAAATTTGCTTGCTGATATGCGATCGGAAATTAATCGAAAATAATAAATTTTCTTTAACACTCTTAATTGGAAAATTACAGACCTGTAGCATAGATTGCATCCCGACGACATGTTTACTAATCATTCTAAATCATTATGAAAGTCAAGCTCCGGGAATTAATTGCTTACAGTGTCTAAGTAGAACTCAAAATTTACAAAAATGTTATAACTTAGCGCTAAGCTGGACAAGTAATCCAGGATTGTATTTAAAATTAACCACATCTGGGGTAGTTGTAGCCTATCTTTTTATTTATTTTACACTATTAATATTCACAAATGCCATCATCATATTGAAAACGTGTCACAAAACCAATCGACATCAAATATCGATCTATGTAACTATTTTTCTGTTAACTACGTTGACTAGTTTCTTCATGACATCGTTATTGAGTTGGCCAATACCTTTAATTACTTGGCTTTATCCGTTAACAACTCCGCCATTACAACCATCTGTAAATATATTTAGCAACTGGACTGTTGCATTAGGTATTACTGTTAGTATAGCTGCTGTACTTTATCCTATACTGATCATCTGTTTATATATATTTGGAGATGAGATGATCACAGATTGGGCTATAACAATCTTGATTGCCTATCTTGGTATCCTATTGATGCCTTTGATAGGTATTTTGATGACATTTTACATTTTTTTAATTTGTAAAACCGTCATATGTCAAGATGTTACATCACTATCTAGAATTACTCCAGATAATTATTTAATTCACCCTGATTTTTAAAATATAAAATATATCTCAAGATTTGGTATCGTAGTAAATTGCTGTAATAAAATCAATTGATTACTTTATCACAGCTAGAAATATTTACTGAAATTGATATCCTATGAGATAGTTTGCTCTAAGCAGGCATCACGATATGAGACCTATCGATGTTTCTAAGAATGATGGCTATTAAATGTTAACGGTTAGTTAAAATTGTTAATGTATTTTCATCATACATTTCTGTATTTGTACTTAGCTATTATGATGCTTAATAATAAAGCATGTATAAAAGTTTCAAGGTCTTTGCTGTTTCCCTATCCTAGAATTATTGTATAGTAGTGCAAAACTATGCTGCATCATAGCAACGTTTTCTTGGAAATCATTTCTGGTTTCTGCCTTGATCTGATATTCAATGATGTGATGATGAAAGGTTAAAATTTCTATCGAAAACTGTCTAATTTAATTATTTGCAGAAAAAGCTCTCGGAGTTATATTGCACTAGACTTTTCTGTTGGCCATCTAGTATTTCAGTATTCTGTATATAACAGCTCAATTTTGTAAATCATTGACTGAAATCGCATTCGATTAGCAAATTATATTATATTCTTTAAGCAAATTAGTAAGTGATCTTTGCATTGATAAGAATACTTCTGTATTAATAAGTTCTAGTCCATAATATGAGAAGTAAATTCTACCTAGTCAGTGTTTTTTTTGTAGTATTTTAAAGTAAAACTACACCGTATACCAGTTAATAGATAGTATTACTGCAGAAATGATTTTTGCCAAAGTTTTTATTATAGTAATGTTATGAATTATAAATGTCAATAATAAAAAAACCCTACAAACACGCGTACGATCTGAAATCAAATTGAAAAATACCTTGGCAAATCCCTACCAGCGTAAATCGTAGAGCTTACTTATTCAAAATAAAATAGCTCTTAAATATATTATTGTAGATGTTATTCAGGTATACTTTATATATAGAGCTACGGTGATGTAGATGCTGTGCTAGGGATATGCAGTGTATTGACGACTAATTATTCATTTAGACTCAAATAGATCATTATAAAGAATAAATTTTTCCCTTAACTGAAAGTA